CAGCCTTGATCCGTACAATACTTATCAAGATTGCTATTTGGATGAGGTGGAAGGTTCTACGGAAAAAAATCGAACTTTTGGCAAGATAAAAAAGAAAACATCGTTGAAATCTTCATTTGAAACATACGGTGCACGTGGATTCATTGATCAAGGAGTTAGATTACTTTTGATTCCACTAATTAACGGATTAGATTACTTTTGATTCATTTATTAAAGATTATTTCTCAATTACAGTACTTTCATTTCCATTATTATCGAATTCATACATTTTGAATATAAGCTAATTCCGATTAATTGTAAATACAATACTGATTATGCAAATTTTACAGCACTTCAAAATTTGTTTTCAATATGTCATATCAAATGTGTCATTCACTTTTAAAAATTTAGAAAACTGGCAACAAAATTATAGCATTACCTTTTCATCGCTTTAATCTTTTACAAGGTTATTTGTTTGTATCATGAAGATTTTATTTTTACACAGAGTTATCAAACTTTATTCCTAACTGTACCTTTTTATAAATTGAATCATAAATAGATTTTAGGCTAGGATTAATATTGGCTCAACTGATGCTCAATATGGACTACCGTGCTGGGTACGCGAAAAGACGCATAATTATCTGAATTTGAAAAAAGTTCGAGAAGCACTGCATATACCTCTAACTCTTCCAGAATGGCAAGAATGCAGGTTATTCAAGTTTATTTCTGCTGATTAAAGCTAATTTGTCAAACTATTTTCAATTTTATATAAGTCAAAGTGATTTTTTAAAACACAAAAAGCATTTTAACACATTGTTTTTAATTCTAAAAAAAGTTGTTGAAAATACTTTATATTTTTTTTAAATTAATTTTTTAGTGACGAAGTTTTTGAGTCTTATCAAAGAGAACGTATGGACATGATGTCCAGTTTTGACGACATTATTAATTCTGGTTTGTTTATAATTTAATTGTTTAATACAAGTTTGTGCTTTTATTATTTATAATCATCTTTACATATTATTGTATTCTGTACAGAAATTTCTAGCTTATAGTCTTTGCTTTCAAATTTTAAAAATGTATTCACAAAGATTTTATTTCCGCTAAAAATTTATTTGTATACAAATTTTTGTGCTAAAAATTTAATTCAATTTTTTAATTTAATCATTTTAATCATATATATATATGATTAAAATAATTATATATATATAATTATAAACAATATTAGAAAACTTAAAAAGTCATGTAAAATGAAAATATATTTCTGAAATAAAGGAGAAAATGCCAAGTTTAGTTGCATAGTAATAAGCTGAAATTATTAAATAAATTGTCATATTTACTGCAGAAAAACTAATGATAATTTAGTCAATGAATATGAATAAATCTGAAAAGGCGCCATTTTTTAGGATTTCCTCTGCGAATTTTGATTTATAACGGAGACGTGGACACAGTCTGCAATTTTCTTGGTAATGAATGGTTTTTGCTTAATTTAGTTCAGAATCACTCGATGTCAACTAGTATGCGCTATTCATGGTCTTACCAAAAAGATACCAAATATGAGGAACAATTAGGTGGTTATAGTCAAAATTTCACGCATTGTGATTCGGATTTAAAAACATGCGTTTCTATTAATTTCGTTACTGTGAAAGTAAGTTTATTGAGTATTATTTAATTCAAATTCCTTAATCTAATGAAATTAGTCCGAAATTGTTTGTTGCTATTCCTTAAATTTCAAATTTTCTAATAAATCAATGTTATTTTGATCAGATTTATCTCAAACTGATTACAGTGCTAATCAAAAGATTGAAAATTTGTACTATGGATATAAGTTTGTAAAATTTTCAAAAAAATTATTCTTATCTCAAGAAAATGTAAGAAAATTATTTCGATAGCATTTAAATTATCGTTAAAAGTTTAGTAACACAAATTTAATTTATGTTTGTGCAATGTCAATAAATTAGTTTTACAAAATTGAGTTTGGATAAGAATATCAATTTTTGAAATCATTAATTGAATTTCGATATTAATTTTTGATGTCATTAAAATTCTAAGTATTCCTTTCTATCGATTTTGAATATAAATACATGTAATATTCTATATGCTTATCGTAATTTCATGTTTAGGGTGCTGGTCATTTTGTACCGATGGATAGGCCTGGTCCATCCCTACAACTGATCACAAATTTTATTCAAAATATTAACATCAATACAAGCTTATTCTGGAATACAACAGCCAAACCAACTTTGCCACAGTATATCACCTCTAAAGTCATACCAGGTGCGTAATTGAACTTCTTCACAAATACTTTGTAAACTCGTCAAAATACTTTCTTTTTCCGACAATGATTTCAAAGTGTCAAAATTATCCTCAAATTTTAAACCAACAATTTAATTCTTTTATGAGTATTTCGATTTACTGATTAATAATTTACTGTTTACTGCCATTTAAATTAATTTAAACAAAAATCAAAAATAGTAGACTGAGAGAAAGTTTATAAATTCAAATTGTGGAATAATTTTAAAAAAAATGCAGAAGATTTCTAAACTTCTTTTATCATCAATTGATACTTTAATAGCCTCCTGCATAATATAATTATGCAAACTGTTTGAATTTTCACTTATTAGCAGTTCAAAATTTGACTTTCCTTTAGTATTAACTTAGCATCCACTGATAATTTTCATTAAAAAAATAATTAATGAAATTCATAATTAATGAATTGTCATTAAAGTGTTAGTATTATATGCAAATTAGAACTTATATTCAATAGGACTTGTAATTTTTTCAACGTTGTTTACAATATATTATAGATTTTTCCATAATTAACAGACAGAAAATAGTAAACTAGTAATTTTCTCATAGTGTCGTGCATGGAAATGATAAAACATTCAGCCTTGTGAGCTCTTAGACTGTAAAATTAGTTATTGCAATTATTCCATTTATAGTATTATTCGATTAAATTACAAAATTATTTGCGAATTACTGCTATTTAACTCAATTTCAGCGACTCGCAAAGAAAATGATCGCATAATTTACTTGCCTGGTTTAACTTTCCCCGTAACATTCAAGCAGTATTCGGGTTTCTTGAAATCTGTTCCTGGCGATTACTTACATTATTTGTAAGTAAAATTCTGCAGTTGTTCCTTTAAAATCTAAGCATTTCTGAGGAAATAAAAAAATAATAGCTTAATTCATGCATATTTGAAAAAAGTACTAATTATTATCTTAACTTTTTGAATTCTTTGGAAGCATCTATTAGACTTAAAAAGAATTTGCAAAATGTTTCTAAATATATGCTAATTTTATCAATTACTGAAGTAAAAAAAAAGAAAAAAAACTGAATGCGAGAAAAGATTTTGAATTTATTCATGAAATTATTGTTATTAGCTTCGTTGAATCCAAGAGGAATCCAGCACGAGATCCATTGGTGTTGTGGTTAAACGGCGGTCCAGGTTGCAGTTCCCTTGAAGGATTATTCTTAGAAAATGGACCATTCCATCCAAATCCTGATGGTACTACTTTATTCGAAAATATCTACTCTTGGAATCAAGTAAATTTTATATTTTCTCTGAAATAATCAAATTTCAAATTCTATGCAAAACATGAAAATGATTTTTAGTAATTATATTTATTCTAGCACACTTATATATTATAGCAAATATATTTCACTGCCAAGAATTTTTGCTTTATAAATATCAATTATAAATTAAATTAGGCTTAGGCTTAGGCTTAGGCTTAGGCCAAGCAGTAAATTACTTTTAAATATTTTTCATGGTAGGTCAATTTTTTATATCAATAAATGATGCTCTAAAACTTGATATTTTATAGATTGCAAACGTCTTATATTTGGAATCACCAAGAAATGTTGGTTTTTCATGGCAAAATACCTCAATTAACAAAGATCCTACTTATAACGATCTAAAAGCAAGTTTTGAATACAATAATTGGATAGAAACAAGCAAACAAACAAACGTGAAATTAATTTATTTGATTAGTATCATAACCTTTAAACTAAGAACAGAATAGTATTAATTAATTTGATTAGTCCGCGCATGCAAATGTTTAAATTGAGCGCAAAAAGAACTTCAGATGATACCTAAGTAAATTTGTAAGTAAATTAAAATAGTAAAAGTTATTAAATACTCTTCATAATTTATATTGCATATTAGTTATTCAATAAGGCAACAAAGTGAATAGTTTTTAGACAGCGCGAGGAGCTTTTTATGCTCTAATGGATTTCTTGGAGATATTTCCCGAGTATAGAAATCGCAGATTTTATATTACTGGCGAATCGTATGCTGGCATTTACATTCCAACTTTGACATCATACATTATTAAAAAAATATATGTAAAAATTTTTAAAGTTAAAAAATAAGTAAAAATAGTTTAAATACTTAAAAATACGCAAGAAATCAGTCTAGCACTTGTTATAGACTAATCAAGCGCCAGGATTGAATTTAATAGGGATAGCAATCGGTAATGGTGAACTGAGTATGAGAGATCAGTTGAACTCAATTATCTCCATGCTTTATTTTCGAGGCGTATATGGAAAAGAGTAAGTTTTTGTAATAATACAAAATAAAAACTGTTTTTAATTATTATTGAATAATTTGCTTTTGTTTTTATAAAATTTATCAATTAGAAATCAAACTTTTTTCTGATTAATAGAATTTATACAAAGATAATGTCTAAAAAATATGCGCAACTCTGATAACACTGAAGACATTTTAAATGGTTATTAATGAAGAAAGTGATTTTTACTGCATTGTAAAATCGAGCTAAGCAAAAATTTATAAATTAATAAACTCTACATATGTGAATGCTCCAGGTATTCTGCCCTATCATATTTCCATCAATTATAATCAATAAAATTAATGATAATTAACATTTAATTATCAATTATGTTTAACATTAACATTTTTCCATCAATTATAATAATTATACATTAACATTTAATTGATTACATTAACATTTTTTTTGATTTCTGAATGATTTTTCTAAATAGATCAAAGCAAATATTCATTTAAAAATTATTTTTTTTTAAAAATTAGTCTCAATTTTGATTTTTTTCAAAACAAATTATAATACTTTTACAGTCTTTATGCGCGGCTTATGGCATGCTGCGAGAATAATACTATCCCAGCAGCTTTCTGCAATTTTGACAGATATGTAATATTCATCAATGGTTGGGCACTACCAAAAGATTTCTCCAACGAATGTGCCAAAGCCATTGCTGAATTTGGCTCACACTATATTTGGTTTCAAAGCAAAATGTAAGCTTCACTTTTTATTACCTAACTTATAAGTTAAGAAAGTCAAGTATTCTTTCTATATGACTTTAGTTTTGAACACACATTTTTATTAGTTTAATCATAAATTATTAAAAATAATTATTTAAAAAATTTTTAAAATCTTTGTTAATTTGATAATTTTATCTAAAAAATCTTTTTGTTAATAAAGCTAATTTAACAAGTATTTAATTACTCAATTAATAGTGTATTTGCATTTATTTTATTTACATTCAGCATTAAACTAGTCGTATTAGATTTTTTGATAGCTGGTGGAGTAGTTTACAATTCACTACTTTTTTTCGCCTGAGACTATAAACTATAAAAGCGTTTGTTTTAAACTCTTAAAGTGAAAGAAACAAACTTATTTGTATTTATTATTAAAATATGTTAATGTTTTATCACTTGCAAAGAAGATAAATTTGTTGATACAAATGTAATTAGCCTTATCATTAATGCGAAATAGAGAATGCATTTTTTAAACTAAGTATTTTTTTAATAATAAATACAAATAAGTTTAAAAGATTATATTATTATAATTTTACTTAGTTTTACTGTAGTCTCAGGCTCTGATGCCAGTCTAAACTTGCAACAAAAGGAATAATAAAAAATAATTATCAGTTTGTTCTAACATTGTTATGATGGTTTAATGATAGCAAAATTATTGCAGACAAGATCCTTACAATCTAATTGAAGATGGCTATCGTCAGTTTGTAGAGACGGATATGCAATCTAAACTTAGAACTAATTTGCATAAGAGAAAATTTTGGGCTGAATATCTTCGTAAGGGTTTTAATCAGTCTTCAGCTCCTTATGATAATCAACAGGTAAACTTAAATTTTTAACTTTATTATTTATCTTAATTTGTATATATAATCACTAAAAACAGTTTTGCTTATTTTATTTGTAAATTTTGTCTGTAAGCAATAATCTAAGAACTTTTTTTACAGTCATCAGCAATAAATTATGCATCCACAGATGGCAAAGGCAATTTTTACTTTTATGCTAGGTCAGCCACCACTAATTACTTAAATTTGAAAGATGTTCGTTCGGCGCTTCATATTCCAGAGCATATCCAGCCATGGGAAGGTTGCAAGTATGCTTTTTTTAAATTTTAAATATTTTAATAGAAATCTTAGGAAATTAAATAAGGGTTGTTTTTTATGAAAATTAATTTTAAAACAATCATATTGCTAAAAAAAAAGAAAAACTTATTCAAAAATAATATCAAAATTATAAAATTGTTGGAAGAGAAAATTAAAAAACTGTGATTATAGAGCTCTGAAACTAGACTTAACACATTTTTGACCATAAAAGTAATAAAAAGTTTGTCTCTGATTAAAGTGACATTTTGAAGTGACGATATTAACTATTACTATTATCAACAATACGAAGATACTACACCTATATTTGAGCAAATTATTCATAGTGGATATACATTGGATATACTTATTTACAACGGTGACGTGGATTTAGTTTGCGAATTTCTCGGAAGTAAGCACTTTAATACTTTTATAATATTGTTAGCTTACTTTCATCTGTTCCATTACGAATTAGACTTAAATCCTTTTATCATCTCAATCTGTTCTACTCCATTTGATACTTTTGATTAACTAAAAATTGCAATAAAAAGATAAAAATTAATTTTGATAAATAAGCACTTTGCAATTTGTATTATTAATCTCCTAAAAACTGGAGTGATGAATTCATTGTTATTCATAAATTTTGATTTTAAGAAAAAAATTTGTTCACTTATTAAGTATATAATTATTGATACTGTAGATGAATGGTTTACTGAAAGATTAGCAAAGTCGTATAAAATGAATGTGACCCGTAAAAGGTCAGAATGGACTTATGAAGGTGAAAGAGCAGGTTACTGGAAACAATTCAGATCACCGATTGGTAATCTTGATCTAGTCTCAGTAAAGGTATTTTAAATATTCAGAGTTGTACAAAAAAAGACTTCTGCATCCTTTTCAAATGTTTTTACAAAAAATTGAGATTTTTGTAGTTTTTTTTCGGAAATTATTTTTTTTCAAATACAAATTTTCAAGAAAATATTATGTATAACAGAAATATTTCAAATTTGAAATCAAAGGTAGCTGACCAAATGATTTTAATTTTTTAGTTATTGCATATTTTTATGAAAATTTTTGAATTGGGAAAAAGTTGCAGAAAAATTGAAGCATAGAAAGTATTTATTACATTCATATTCTGCTAAGTGTTAGCACTATATTAAAAACACATCCTACCCAAAATCTCAATTCTATTTGGTGTATTGAGACTTTAAAAAATATGTATGCTTGATTTTGAGCAGAAAAAATTCTTTTGTGTATGGATCTGATCTCCAATGAACAAAAATATCTTTTATCAAAGGTAATCTAAGCTG